GTAATAATAATAGAAATAATAATAAAAAAGTATGTCTGCACAATAAATGTAATGCACCTGAATCATCCTGAAACCATCCCCCTGGCCCCAATCTGTGGAAAAATAATTTTCCACAAAATCAGTTCCTGATACCAAAAAGGTTGAGGACTGCTAATCTAAAGCATATTCTTCATGTAGAAGGTGATTCCAGAATGGCCATCTAAGACATGAGAAGAAATGGTGAACATGCAGGTAAATCTAAATAAACTCTGTCAGGTAGACATGGAGTGGCATCCCTACACCAACACCATGCACAAAAGGGTCTTCTGAATACTGAATGAGCCCACTTACCAGTAGGGATGTGGACTTGGAACCCAAGAGATGAGTTCCACACATAAGCCCATGAACTGTGGGTGTAGAACTGTGGGGGGATGGAGGGATCTGAATAAACCCTGTGTGTCACAACAAAATAAATAAACTGTCAGAGGGATTCTGCTTGGAACTATTTCTGAGAGCTGGATAAGGTGGTAGTTTAGAGGCAGAAAACAAGACAGACTGCTGTCTCTGACTAGATTTCTGCCAGATGCGTAATACCTAGTCCACAATAGAGTCTTTCCAGATGCTCCAATAGCATCTTGCTTTTCTCAGGGCTTTTTGATGACATCGTTCACTGATTTCCCCAGAAGGGGCCCTTGTAAACTCTTAGGTAACCAATGCTACACTATGACCTAGAAGTTCTCAACTTATTTTCTCTTGGGTCATTTCACTTATCAGTGGTAACACTTCTTTCTCCCTCTAAACCTAAATGGTCTTATTCTCCAGTTTTCCAAGAATGAACAATATATTGATTAAGAATAGACACTGGTGCCAGGCTCGGTGGTTCAGCTGTAATCCCAGCACTTTGGGAGGCCAAGGTGAGTGGACTGCCTGAGCCCGCAGGTTCGAGACCAGCCTGAGCAACATGGTGAGACTTCGTCTCTACAATAAATAAAAAATTAGCTGGACATGGTAGCGTGCACCTGTAGTTCCAGCTACTTGGAAGGCTGAGGTGGAAAGAATCACCAGTGCACAGTAGGTCGATGCTGGGGTGGCCATGAGCGTGCCACTGTACTCCAGCCTGGGCAATGGAGTGAGACTCCAACTCAAAAAAAAAAAAAAAAAAAAGAATAGACACTGATAGTAAAGCAAAAATAAATAAAGCAAAGAAGATGAGGCTGGGTGCTGTGGCTCAAATCTACAATCCCAGCTCTTTGGGAGGCTGAAGAGATAGGATTGCCTGAGCCCAGGAGTTCAAGACCAGCCTGAACAAGTTGGCGAGACCTCATCTCGACAATAAATTAAAAAATACTAGCCAGGCATGGTGGTGCATGCCTGTAGTTCCAACTACTAGGAAGCCTGAGGCGGTAGGATCTCCTGGGCCCAGCAGGTCAAGGTTGTGGTAGCTGTGATGGTGCCACTGAGTCAAAATGAGAGTTACCTCTGGGGAATATGATAGGAAGGGAAATGTGCTTGGGTTCACCTAGAGACCTTTTAAAGTACTAGTTAGTAATAATGTTCTTATCCCTGATGAGATACATAGGTATTCATTTTTTAAATAGTACATTATAGTCATTGTTTCTAATATATTTTAATATTTTATTTCACAAATTAAAAACGAACTTGTGGAATTTAGCAAAAGTAAGAAATGCATCCTTAAATACCTATATTAGGCTGTGCGCAGTGGCTCACTTCTATAATCCTAGCACTTTGAGAGGCCAAGGTAGGAGGACTACTTGACCCCAGGAGTTCGAGACTAGCCAGGAGAACATAGAGAGAACTTGTATCTGCAAAAAAATCAAAAAATTAGCTGGGTGTGGTGGTGTGCACCTGCATTCCCAGCTTCTCGGGAAGTTGAGGTGGAAGGATCACCTGAGCCCAGAGGTCAAAGCTCCAGTGAGTCTTGACAGTGTCACTGACTCCAGCCTGGGTGACAAAGTGAGACCCTAACTAAAAAAAAAGAAAAGAGTTATATTATAAAGAAGGATGAACATTAATGAGTTTAGTATTCAATTTAACAAGCTAGAAAAAAGCACAACAGAATAAACACACAGAATAGAAGGGTAAAATTAATAAAGTTAAGGGTACAATGCAATGAAATAGAAAACAAATACAAAATAGCATTAATGTATATCTGTGGGTGCAGGGAGGAAAAGAAAAAAGTAGCATTAATGAAATGAAAAGGACTGGGTACAGGGGCTCACATCTGAAAACCCAGCACTTTGGGAAGCTGAGGCAGGGGGATCACTTGAGCCAAGGAGTCTGAGATCAGCCTAGGCAACACAGCGAGATCTCATCTTTACCAAAAATGAAAAAATTAGCCAGATGTGGTGGCATGCGCCTGTAGTCCCAGTTACTCAGCGGGGCTGAGGCAGAAGGACTGCCTGAATCCAGGAGGTTGAGGTTGTAGTGAACCATGCTAATACCACCTCACTCTAGCCTGGGTGACAGAATGAGACTCCAACTCAAAAAAAAAAAAAGGAAAAAGAAAAAATTAGCCAGGTATGGTGGCTCCCACCTATAATTCCAGCACTTTGGGAGGTGGAGGACTGCCTGTGTCCCAGGCTGGAGTGCAGTGGCATACTCATAGCCACCGCAACCTCGACCTGCTAGGCTCAGGCGATCCTTTCACCTCAGCCTTCCAAGTAGCTGGAACTACAGGCCTGTACCATCATGCCCGGCTAATTTTTTTATTTATTTTAGAGACGAGGTCTTGCCAAGTTGTCCAGGTTGGTCTTGAACTCCTTTACTCAGGCAATCCTCTCAACGCTACCTCTAAAAGTGCTGAGACTAGGTGTGAGCCACCATGCCCAGCATAATTACTTATTAATCTATAAATATAAACCTTTATATAATTATAAACCTTTATATTTAAGCACTTTTGCAGTAGAAAAGTTATATTCATTTTACAATAAAAAATGCAGGAAGAAAGGAAGAGAAAGAAAGAAAGGAAGGAAGGGAGAGAGAAAGATAGAAAAAAGAGCCTCAGTATATGAAAGATATTGAATCAGTAGTTAAAAAGTCTATAAAGAAAAATATCAGGCCCAAAGCTACCAAAATTTCAAGAAACATTAATTCAAATCAGGCAACATTAAAAAAGAGACTATTCATTTTTGTAAAGTTAGTTTGACCTTGATATAAAAACCAGAAAGTAGCATAAGAAAGAGAAGTTATAGGCCTAACTCATGAACACTGATCAGAATATTTTAAAGTATTAGTAAGTTGAAACTAATAGTGCTAAAGATGAGAAAAAATACACAATTTGATCAGTAATTAAGACTAGAAAAAGTACACAATCTGATTAGTAATTAAGGCAATAAAAATTAAGACTAAAATGAGATACTATTTTATTTATTTATTTTTTGAGTTGGAGTCTCACTCTGTCGCCCAGACTGGAGTGCAGTGGCCATTCTCGGCCACCACAGTCTTGACCTGCTGGGCTCCGGCAATCCTTCCACCTCAGCCTTCCAAGTAGCTGGAACTACAGGTGCATGCTACCGTGCCCGGCTGATTTTTTGATTTTTTGTAGAGTTGAGGTCTCGCCAAGTTGCCCAGGTGGGTCTCGAACCTGCGGGCTCAGGCAATCCACTCACCTCAGCCTCCCAAGGCGTGGGATTACAGGCTGAGCCACCGAGCCCGGCTGAGATACTATTTTATACCAACTAAAATGGCCAGGAATTAAAGAAGTCTGATCACAAGGATTTGTTGTTTCTACTCCCCAAATATGCTTGGCCCACTGTTGTTGCCATAAGTCCTTAGGGAAGGAGTGTTACAAAATGAAATGAACAGCCAGGTATGGTGGCTCATGCCTGTAATCCCAGCACTTTGGGAGGCTGAGGCAAGATAATTGCCTGAGCCCAGGGGTTCGAGACTAGCCTGGGCAACTTGGCAAGACCTCATCTCTACAATAAATCAAAAAATTAGCAGAGTGTGGTGGCACATGTCTGTGGTTCCAGTTACTTGGAAGGCTGAGGCAGAAGGATCACCTGAGCCCAGCAGATTGAGGTTGCAGTGGCCGTGAGTGTGCCAGTTAGTGCACTCCAGCCTAGGTGACAGTGAAACTCCACCTCAAAAAAAAAGAGAAATGAACAGAGGTTTTAGAGTAGAATACTTGGTTCTGGACTAACAAATTGCTTAATTTTTAAAAGTTTATTTTGGCCAGGTGTGGTGGCTCACGTCTATAACCCCAGCACTTTGGGAGAATGAGTGAGGATTGCCTGAGCCCACAAGTTCGAGACCAGCCTGGGCAACTTGGCAAGACCTCAACTCTACAATAAATAAAAAAATCAGCCGGGCGTGGTGGTATGTGCCTGTAGTTCCAGCTACTTGGAAGGCTGAGACAGAAGGATCATCTGAGTCCAGCAGGTCAAGGCTGTGGTGGCAGTGAGCGGCCACTGTACTCCAGTCTGGGCAACAGAATGAAACTTCAACTCAAAAAAATAAAAAGTTTATTTCCCCCCCACCAAACAGGCACGTTTATAATTGCTCTTGGCCAGGCGCAGTGGATCACACCTATAATTCTAGCACTTTGGGAGGCTGAGGTGAGAGGACTGCCTGAGCCCACGGGTTCGAGACCAGCCTGGGCAATTTGGTGAGGACTCATCTCCACAATAAATTTTTAAAAATTAGCCAGGTGTGGTGGCGCATGCCTGTAAGTCCCAGCTACTTGGAAGGCTGAGACAGAGAGATTGCCTAAGCCCAGCAGGTCGAGGCTGCGGTGGCTCTGAACGTGTCACTGCCCTCCAGCCTAGGCAATAGAGTGAAACTCCAACTCAAAAAAAAAAAAAAAATTGTTCTTATATAATAGGGCTAATGTGAACCTAAAATGAGATAATGTCTGTAAAACCATTTTATAAACAATAAAGTGCCTTTTAAATGGCAGTTAATTTGTGAAAGCTGAAAGTTAGGGAACCATGAGGTTAAGTGGGTTTTCTACTAGGGTTATCGCGATCTAGTGGGAGCAGCAATAAGGGCATTTCATGTACCTTGATGAGTTGATTATTCTTCACATAGTGCAAAGTGTTTGACCGATTACCACCAGCAACCACGGGTGGGTAGGCTAAGATGTCTGCACCACGAGCCCGACATTCAAATTCAAACTGAAAAACAACAGCAAGGTATGACTCAAATAATTTTATCACTGCCCCAGCTCAGTCTCTCTTTAGCAGCCCGTACTTCCATACCAGTACATATCTTAATTCATTACCGGAAAACTATTCATCATATCTAACCACACTTTTTAAGCTGTAATTCCACTCCATTAATTTTATTCTCATCCCATGTACTATAATCTATGCTATGTAGACTTTTATTCCTCCACATCCTTTTATTCAACCCTATTATTAAATCTGTTCTTTTCTCCTTCAGTGTTCTCTGAATTTTCTATGCTTTTTCAAATTATGTCCAAAAGACATAGAAAACCTATGATGAAGGTTGATTCCAGAGATACAATTATGTAAGGTTTCTATTTGTTTATTTATTTATTTTTTGAGTCAGAGTCTCACCCTATCACTCAGGCTGGAGTGTAGTGGCATACTCACAGCCACAGCCTCGACCTGCTGGGCTCAAGCAATTCTTCTGCCTCAGGTTTCCAAGTAGCTGGAACCACAGGCATGCACTACCACGCCCAGCTAATTTTTTGATTTATTGTAGAGACAAGGTCTCACCAAGTTGCCCAGGCTGGTCTCAAACTCCTGGACTCAAGCAATCCTCTTGCCTCCGCCTTCCAAAGTGCTAGAATTATAGGCATGAGCCACTGCACGCGGCTAGCTGTAAAATGTTAATTTCCAACTTTCAAATAGCTACTAACCTAAATGCTCTGGAAAAATGAAAAAGTATGCTAGAAAAATTGTCAATCCTACTAACACTATGTTCTAGGATGGAGCTGAAGGCTGGCAAGTATATGCCACTATCTACAGCACCACCTCAGCCTCTTCTTTACGTTTACTCAAAAAGTATTATTCCTCTCAGTTGGGTGTAGTGGCTCATGCCTGTAATCCCAGCACTTTGGAAGGCTGAGGCAGGAGGACTGCTTGAGACCAGTAAGTTGAGACCAGCCTGGGCAACCTAGCAAGACCTTGTCTCTACACAAAATTTTTAAAAATTACCTGGCATGGTGGTGTACCCATAGTCCCACCTATTCAGGAGGCTGAAGTGGAAGGATCACCCGAGCTCAAGAGGTCTAGGATGCAGTAAGCTGTGATCATGCCACTGTACTCCAGCCAGGATGACAGAGTGAGACTACCACTCAAAAAAACAAACAAAAAAACCCCCAGTATTACCTTCTCATCTCGCATTTCTAAGTCTTCCCTTGTTTATCTGTTCTACTTTGCAATCTTCTTCCTTTAGTTATAAACTTGCATGTTATAGACTCATCTAATACATTACCAGTGACATTTGTGAACCAAATCCTCTCCAATGATATGCTGATCATTACTATCAACACTGACTGTATGCCACCTGCAAATCAATAAATTTACTTGACATTCACTTCTATCAAGGCCTTTCCAACCATCTCAAGCTCACCTTAGCATAAAGAAAGGCTTCCTCCACAGGGGTTTTACTGGCCAACATGGTCTCTATGAAAGCCTGCAAAAGAGAAAGGAGGACAGAGAGAACACAGTCTCATTGCTTACTCAAACATTCTAAATACCGGAGCTGAAATAAAAAGCTTCTTTCCCAACTTGGCAAGACCTCATTTCTACAATAAATCAAAAAAATTAGCCGGGCATGGTAGCGTGTGCCTGTAGTTCCAGCTACTCGGAAGGCTGAGGCGGAAGGATCGCTGGAGCCCAGCAGGTTGAGACTGCAGTGGCCGGGAGCGGCCACTGCACTCCAGTCTGGGCGGCAGAGTGAGACTCCAACTCAAAAAAAAAAAAAAATCTTCTTTCTCCATAATTTTGTCAACCTGAAGTTGTGACTCATTGAGTATAATAATATAGACTTCTGAAGGGAATAAATATTGGTGACAAAAAATACTTATGATAGATTTAGTGAAAGGGCACCCAACTTCTCCACTCTGAATATACACTGAATGCTAGAATAAGCAACATGAAATCTGCTATGATTTAAATATGTCCCCTTCAAAATTCATGTTGAAATTTAGTCCTCCTTCAGGTTGTAAGGGGTTTTTTTTGACTTGGAGTCTCATTCTGTTTCCCAGGCTGAAGTGCAGTAGCATGCTTATGGCCACCACAGCCTTGACCTGCTGGGCTCAGGCGATCCTTCCGCCTCAGCCTCCCAAGTAACTGGAACTATAGGTACACGCCACCATGTCCAGCTAAGTTTTTGATTTGTTGTAGAGATGAGGTCTCACCAAGTTGCCCAGGCTGGTCTCAAACTCCTGGACTTAGGCAATACTCTCCCCTCAGCCTCCCAAAGCGCTGGGATTACAGGCTTGAGCCACCAAGCCCAACCTCAGATAATCTATTTTGGTCACCATTGTATCCTTAGAACCTAGAGCAGTGCCTGGTACTTAGTAAGTACTCAATAAATGAATGCTTTCTGGATAAATCAGCAATTAAAATCAGTTAAAGGACATAAACACATACACAAATGTTGAAAAATAACTAGTTAGCACTACATTTTTAGCATGAAACCTTAAAAAAACCGGGGGCGGGGGGGAAATGTGGTAGTACTAGTAAGTTAATTTGCCCAAAAAAGGGATTTGTTTTTTATTAATTTTCTTTCAAACATTTACTTTTATGTCGTACAGAACTGTTGAAGTCATGGCTCTGTTTTTTAATTTTTAGAGACAAGAAATTACTGTGTAGACAAGGCTGGAGTGCAACGGTTATTCACAGATGCAGTCATGGTGCTCTACAGCCTCAAACTCATGGGCTCCAGCCATCATCCCTCCTCAGCCTCTTGTGTATGCCACTATGTCCAGCCAGTCATGGCTCTTTTACACTGTTATATAGACTAAACAGGATTAAAAAAATTTCCTCTTGTTTCCTAGGTTCTCAAATGCCCAATCTTGCTTTACTTCTTTTTGTAATGAATGTACCTCCTATGAGTCAATTTCTTCACAGGTGATACCAGTTATACATGGTACATGGTTCAAATGCCATCTATCCTATGTGTTTGATATTATTCTAGTAAAGCTCAAAGGCTTTATGACTGGTACTTCTTCTGAAGGTTGTCTTGTCGCAGGGTAACCCATACTCTCAACTAACATATGATGCTCTTATTTCAGTAGGTGCTATTTGAATGCTTGCATTTTGATTCTTAAAAAATTTTAAATGGGTTTTCTCTGCATTTTACTCTCATCTCATAATCAGAACACATCACCAATCAACTCTGTACAGTTTCTGGAGAAGGGAGAGTGGGGAGAGAAATAATTTCAGGAACAATTTCTTTCTTTCTTTTTTTTTTTTTGAGTTGGAGTCTCACTTTGTTGCCCAGGCTGGAGTGCAGTGGCACACTCACGGCCACTGCAGCCTCCATCTGCTGGACTCAGGTGATCCTTTCGCCTCAGCCTTCCCAAGTAGCTGGAACTGCAGGCACCCTACACCATGCCCAGCTAATTTTTTGATTTATTGGAGAGACGAGTTGTCACCAAGTTGTCCAGGCTGGTCTCAAACCCCTGGGCTCAGGCAATTCTCTCACCTCAGTCTCCCAAAGTGCTGGGATTACAGGCTTGAGCCACCGTGCTCAGCCAGGAACAATTTCAACAAAGGTTGTATATATGTGTTACAAGAGCAGAAAGACTATGCCAATGGAAAGGAGGAGAAGGACACTCCAGACAGAAGGATGGTATGAGACTATGGCCCATCCCAGAGTTCAGTGTGGCTAGAATGTTAAATACATGTGGAAGAGTAAGAAGAGAGAAAGCTGGAAAGGTAGGCAGCAGGGGCCAGATCATAAAAAAAAAAAACCCTCGCGTGAGCATTTTGAAATTTAAACCTAGAAACAACAAGAAGCTACCAAAGAATTCTGAGTAGAAAAGGGGCAGTTTTGCCACTGCCTTGCTGAGCTATGGCCAGGCCATGTTTTCTTAAGCTTTGGCCTCCTCCCCTCCTTTGGAGAGGTGAATCCCCTCTTTCTTTTTCTCTCTCTACAATTTGCTTTCTAATATTAAAAAAAAAGAAAAGAAAAGGGGGCATCAGAGCTATAAGAATTGCTGCAGGCTAGGGTAGAAACAGACTGAGGTCATACAGGAAGCAAGGAGACAAGTAAAAGGGATGTGTGCAAGGTACTTTCATTATTTCATTTTATCTTCTCACAACTCTATACAGTGGGCAATATTATCCTCCAGATGGCTGTGAAATCTAGAGCTCAGTAAGGTTTATTAGTACAATGGCCAAAGTGATACAGCTTTCATTTAAACCCAAGTCTGTCTATGTGTTTTCCACTACGCTCTTCTGCACTCCTAGTAGTGTACTTGGGGATTCGGTAGAGCACAAGTTTAGGTAACTAAGGGAAACTCAGGTAGAGATGTCCAGGAGGCAGGATAAACGTTCAGGATAGGAGAAAGTTTCCTTCCAACACCCCTACTTTTCCTTCTGCTCTCTACCAACTCTTTGTCTATGATGTCACTTAACTCTAATGGAATGTCCCTTTTTATTTTAAGTCATATCAGAGTGCAACAAAATCAAATTGATCAGCATCATATCAGCACAAATTATGTTTGACTTGCTCCTGAAAGAAAGGAACCTTTGGTTTAGAATAAACAAGAGAAGTATAGCACGATTATTAGCACGATTATTCCTTTTTTTTTATTTTATGAGTTGGAGTCTCAGGCAGGAGAGCTGTGGCATGCTTACCGCAGCCTCAACCTGCTGGGCTCAGGCAATCCTTCCACCTCAGTCTTCCAAGAAGTTGGAACTATAGGCACTCATCACCATACCTGGCTAATTTTTACATTTATTGTAGAGACGAGGTCTTGCCAGGTTGTCCAGGCTGGTCTCAAACCCATGGGCTCAGGCAATCCTCTGACCTAGGATTCCCAAAGTGCTAGGATTATAGGCATGAGACACGTGCCCGGCCTGATTATTCTTTTTTTGAGTTTAAGTCTCACTCTGTTGCCCAGACAGGAGTGCAGTGGCCACTCCCAGCCACCGCAGCCTCGACCTGCTGGGGCTCCAGCGATCCTTCCGCCTCAGCCTTCCGAGTAGCCAGAATTACAGGCATGCGCTACCACGCCCAGCTGATTTTTTGATTTATTATAGAGATGAGGTCTTACTGCCCAGGCGGGTCTCGAACCTGCGGGCTCAGGCAATCCACTCGCCTCAGCCTCCCAAAGGCGCGGGATTACAGGCTGAGCCACCGAGCCCGGCTTCTGATTATTCTTAAGAAAATTATTTTGCCCAGAGATACAGAAACATTTTAGACCAGAATTGGGAAGCTTAGGATTGATATTTGCAGCTAGAAGTTATTTATTAATAAAAATAAGGCCAAACTCCATCTCTCTGCCTGAGTTGGTAGATAAAGGGAAAGCCACAAATTTCATACTTCTAAATTTTAGTATAACACTTAAAACAGTCTCTTATAATAATAGTGTGGGCTGGGCGTGGTGGCTCATGCCTATAATCTTAGCACTTTGGGAGGCTGGGGTGAGCCCAAGGGTTCAAGACCACCCTGGACAACTTGGTGAGACCTCATCTCTACAAGAAATCAAGAAAAATTAGCTGGGTGTGGTGGTGCATGCTTGTAGTTACAGCTACTTGGAAGGCTGAGGCAGAAGGATCACCTGAGCCCAGGTCGAGGCTGCGGTGGCTGTGAGCGTGCCACTGCACTCCAGCCTGGACAACAGAATGGGACTCTGACTCAAAAAATAATAACAGTCATAGTGTAGACAGTAAGAGAAGTATGGGTCAGAATACTACTAAGTAGATTTATAACTGCTTTTACACCTTATCCAAAGACATTGATAATTAGAAAGATGTCAATACAGAGGGAACCCTTACTCAAAGATTTGATTTTAGCTTCCTTATTTTAAAAATCAAGCCGGGCTCGGTGGCTCAGCCTGTAATCCCGCGCCTTTGGGAGGCTGAG